ATAAGACGGAGCACCTGCTCATACTGCTAATAAAGCACAGAAATGGCTTACGGAAAATATTACGTATATTTGGGAGGAAGAAATTTGGCCCCCAAGCAGTCCCGATATCAATCCGTTGGATTATTTTGTATAGGGCGTCGTCCAACGGGATACCAATAGAACCCCTCACACCACACTTAAGTCGCTAAAAGCTAAAATCAAGGCAGTGATGACATCTATGGATCGAAACATTTTAAAACGTGCATACTGCAGTTTCCGGAAGCGTCTAACTACAGTCGTCGAAAGGGAAGGCAATTTTTTTGAATAAATTTACTTACAACTTCCATATGTTGCGAAAGAAAATAAATCGCACAAAATTCATTGCTAGAATAACTAACTGGTGTATTTTTTCTCAAACATGCCATTTACTGCAAAAATTCGTCACGCACCCTGTACTCATTATTTTCTAGCATAGTTCTGTTCATAGTCATCCCAAAATGGTGAGGACCACAGTGGAAAGAGCGTCCAACATAGCTCTGGTCTTCACAAGCTCCTACCTCACGCTTCCACGTGTCGGATGATGACAGCCAGTATATGCCCATATATGTGCTGGTAGCGGGGTGTGGACAATGTCATCACGATTAACCCATATCGTGATGATAGCAAGGCTGAGGAGGTGCGAATCGTCGAGCGTCTGTCCACCAGGAGGTGCGGCTCGAACAGCGTCTGTCTGGGATCCAGCGGCTGAAAAAGAAATGCTGTATTGTGTCAGCTAAATCCAAGATGGCAGCCCCATCTACACAATAACCCGAGCGTCTGTCCACCAGGAGGTGCGAATCAAACAGCGTCTGTCTGGCATCCAGCGGCTGAAACAAGAAATGTTGAATCGTGTCAACTAAACCTAAGATACCAGCCCCAGAAACACGATGTAGGTATCGCGACCCTGGTACGGTAGCATACTGAATTATAAAAGTACTCAGAAAAATGAAGTAAGAAGAAGAAAAAAACGAACGGAATTTCCGGCAACTGACCCAACGGCAACGAAATAAGGACAATGAATGGAAACTCGGTTCTTGGAATATCAGAACGTTAAATGAACCTGGATGAGTGGGCCTTCTGGCCCGTGAACTGCAAAAGGTGAATGTGAGTGTGGCTGCTATTCAAGAAGTACGGTGGCTTAGATCTGGAGAACGTAAATTCAGGGCGGTAGATCCTATCGCCAACACATCGTTCAAATACCATATCTACTACAGCGGTGGCGATAGAGCAGAACACGGAGTTGGTTTCGTAGTGATTGGGAAACAGATGAAGCGGGTTATGCGGTGGAAACCGGTTAGCGAGCGCATTTGCGTTTTGAGGATTCGTGGCAAATTCTTCAATTACAGCCTGATCAACATCTACGCACCGACTAACGATAAATCCGATGACGTGAAGGACGCGTTTTATGAAAGCCTGGATAAAACCTATGATGAGTGCCCTAAACACGACGTGAAGATTGTCGTCGGAGATGCAAACGCGCAGGTCGGAAGAGAGGAATTCTCGGATGTCGTAGATGTCAGGACCTTCAGGGTTCCTAATATCGACTCGGATCACTACCTCGTTGTCGCGAAAATACGAGCGCGTCTATCGACCGTTGCGAGTTCGAGAAACCGGAGATCGATGCGTTTCAACATCCAGCGTTTGACAGTAGATGGTGTTGCTGCAGAGTACCAACAGAAGCTGAATGAGCGGATAGCGGAAATCCACGTGAACGAGAATCTCAACAATCTGTGGGAAGCTGTCCACGGAGCGGTGAGCACAATAGCACGAGAGGTGATAGGTACAGCTCAGAGGTGCCCCTGGAACGGGTGTTTTGACGAGAATTGCCAGCGAGTGACAGAGGAGAAGAACGTCACCAGAAGCCGGATGTTGGTGTCTGGTACCCGTCAGAACAGAGAGCGGTACAGGGTAGCAAGGTCAGCCGAGAAACGAACCCATCGCAGGAAAAAAGGCAGTACGAGGAACGTGTTATTGCTGTGGCGCATGAAAGTATGGAGCAGAATGATATGCGAAGGTTTTACGCAACTGTCAATGGCGTGAGGAGTAAGACAGCGCCGTCTCCCGCCATGTGCTATGACCGTGAAGGTAATCTGCTGACAGATAAAACGATGGGCTGCCAGGTGGAAGGAGTACTTCGAGACGTTGCTGAACGGAGAGAACGAGAGAGCATCTGCAAACAGAACACACATCGACGACGATGGTCAAGCTGTGGAACCACCAACGCTAGAAGAGGTGAAAAAGGCGATACGAGAGTTGAAACACAGTAAGGCTGCGGGGAAGGACGAGCTCCCGGCCGAACTTCTCAAACACGGAAGTGAGCAGCTGCACCAGATGATCCACCGTATACTGGTCAAGATATGGGAGGAGGAAGAATTTCCCGCTAGTTGGTTGGATGGTCTCGTTTGGCCCCTCTACAAAAAGGGACACAGACTGAAGTGCGCCAATTACAGAGGAATCACGCTTTTGAATTCGGTGTACAAAATATTATCACGTGTTCTGTTCAACAGATTGAGATCGCTTGAGGAATCCTTCGTCGGCGAATACCAGGCTGGTTTTCGTGAGGGTCGATCATCGACAGATCAAATGTTTACCCTGCGTCAAACCCTTGAGAATTTCCGGGAATACAACTTGCAGACTCATCATTTGTTCATAGATTTCAAAACAGCGTACGATTCAGTAAAGAGAAACGAGCTATGGCAGATAATGCAAGAAAACGGTTTTCCGACGAAACTAATTAGGCTGATTCGTGCAACGCTGGATGGTTCGAAATCATGTGTACGGGTTGCAGACGAGATTCCGGCCTCGTTCGTGACCTTAGATGGGTTGAAGCAGGGAAATGCTCTTTCGAACTTGCTATTCAACATCGCCCTCGAAGGAGCGATTAGGAGAGCTGGCGTGCAGATAAACGGTACAATCGTCACAAAGTCGCACATGGTCCTTGGTTTTGCGGACGACATCGACATCATCGGAATCGACCGTAGAGCAGTGGAAGAGGCGTTCGCGCCTTTTAAGAGGGAGACAGCGAGGATTGGTCTCACGATAAATTCTACCAAAACGAAGGACATGGTCGCCGGTAGAAAGCGTGGGAGCAATAGTGGTTTTGGTAGTGAAGTGGTGCTAGATGGCGAAAAACTTGAAGTTGTGGACGAATTTGTTTATCTTGGTACTTTAGTGACGTGCGATAATGATGTTACCCGCGAGGTGAAAAGGCGTATTGCAGCCGCGAACAGGGCTTTCTACGGGTTGCGTAGCCAGCTGAAGTCCCGCAGCTTGCGTACGAAAACGAAATTCGCGCTGTACAAGACGTTGATTCTGCCGGTAGCCCTTTATGGCCACGAATCGTGGGCATTGAAAGAGGCCGATCGGAGAGCTTTCGGTGTCTGCGAGCGTAAAGTGCTGCGAACAATACTCGGCGGTAAACTGGAAAATGGCATCTGGCGGCGTCGCATGAATCACGAGTTGTACCAAGTATATAACGGCATGGATATTGTGAAGCTTATAAAACACGGCAGGCTACAGTGGGCTGGGCATGTGGCACGAATGCCGGAAGAGCGTCAAGCGAAGTCAATATTCAGCAGGGAACCCGGAAGAGGACGTCGGCTTCGGGGTAGGCCACGCACGCGTTGGCTTTGTGCAGTTGAGGAGGACATTAGGTCCTTGAACGTCCAAGGCGACTGGAAGCGATTGGCTCAGGACCGAGACCAATGGAGACGGTTACTTCGTTCGGCGCAGATTTGAATTCAACGAGTCGTCGCCCATCAGGTACTCAGGTAGTTCTGTTTTAAACTGTTAACTATATCCATGGCATTTGAAATAGAAAATTATTCTGCTTATGCAACTGACAACCGAGAAGCATGTTGCCAAAAACGACTCACTTCTATAAGAGATCTAAAATGTTGGCATTATATATTCTAATAAATAGTCACCACTTGAAGTTCTTTTCCTGTTATGGATCAGAATTGAATTTCGAGACAAAGAAGAGACGTGATTTTATGGCTATAGTCTATGCCCTTCCATTCGATATTTAGTTTATTGCTTTCCGTTATTTTCTTCGATAACCTTAACTCAACATGTGACAACAACGATGTCTGATTAAATACGGGATTTAGAAAAAAAAAACATTCTTTTCAAACATGCTGGACTGCAAAGCTCAACCGTTTCCTTATTTATCTGGTTTTCCATTTTCACTGCCTTTCCCGTATGACTGACCACGCCATTCAGCATTGAGATAGCTACCATGTTAAACAAAGGCAACATTGCCAAACAACACGGCCAACCAGAACAACTCAGCTACTGAATTGAATTGACTCAGAGTCTTTTCTTTCCATCAGAAAATTTACTCATATTTGGAAAAACCTGCAGTTCCTCATTAGTTATGAGTAACTACAGCTTTTTCTAAATATGAGTAAATTTCGTATCGAAAGAAAATGCTCTGAGTCGATTGAATTCAGTCGCTGAGTTGTTCTAGTTGGCCGTGCGGCATGTTTCGACATAAATTTTCCGTGTCTGTACATTTCCTATAGTATACTTCCAGACACGGGCAGCCATCGTAAAAAGCATTCGGGTCGTAAAATTTGTCCCAAATTTGTTATAGTCGTGCGCGTGTTAGTCTGAATGTCAATTTTTAAGCACACAAATTACGGTGACAATCTTTGAGCTTTTGGCATTTTATTAAGCGATAATCCAATCTGAATTTGTAAAACTCACGTTAACGTGTCCTGGCGCTGCTATCAACATCAAAGCACGTTGACGATGATGTGCTGATGTTGAAAACTTGTGCCGAATGAATGCTATGCAAAGTAAAGCCTACGCTATAATGACTGTCTGAGTGGTTTTCACGACGCGTCGTCGTTGAGAATCATCCTGCGGAAAATGAGATCGCTGGAAGCAGGAAAAGAATTTACGTTACAATTTGGTTGGCTAGGGTTGCCGCGAGCAAGATTATGACATTTTGAAACAAAATTTCTCTTCACATTCCACAGGCATCGATTTCAAACAGAAACTGATCAATCTGGACGGGGTGCCAATTAAGCTGCAAATTTGGGACACTGCCGGTCAGGAACGGTTCCGAACGTTGACCACGGCCTATTACCGCGGAGCGATGGGCATTCTACTGATGTACGACGTGACAAGCTTGGAATCCTTCAACAACCTTTCCTACTGGCTGAGGAACATTCAGGAGGTGGGGGAAATCCCAATTACAACCCTATTTGGTGATAAATGTAATTGCAATGATGAACATTAATAATTTCAGAACGCAGCCCCGGACGTGGTGAAGGTACTGGCAGGCAACAAGTGCGAGTGTAATCCACCCCAGCGGGCCGTGGACAAGGATCGAGGAGACAAGGTAGGTTTTTGGGGAGGCAGCGTTGGAGCTTTTGGTGATTTTTCTGATAAAGGTCTATCATATTTACGGGAACATTCTCGCAACACTGTCATCGTCCTTGGGGGATGCGGAGTTAAAAGTAGAACCGGAAATTGAGTCACAGGGATTCGCCTTCCATGCAACAATTTGCTCCTCTCCCAGGGAAAACTTTAGTTAAAAGGGCAGGGAGGCATTTCGCGGGGTGGTTGAGCCATTACACCAATTTTTGCTAATTTATTACATGAATGTGTCATTTGGACGACGCCAATCGGGTGCGCCTCACTGGCAGCGGTTTTTTTGCTCCGGAAGCCTGCATGTGCTATTATAAACGTGAGAAAAACTAAACCAAACAAAGCGGTTCCATAATCCTTTGTTTGACGATAGTTCCATTAGTTAAGGGGGGAAAACGAGCGCACTTGAAAAGAAAGCACCGCAGTCAGTGGGAGGTGAAAATGGACGGCAAATATCAAAACAAGAGAGTAATCTAAAACAACAACAGCAACAACAACAAGTTGTGTTCATCGCGACGATGGTGAGGACAACGACGACGATTGCACTCGGAATCGAATGAATATTAACCGAGACAAACAGGCGTCGCACGGAATACGTAATAACACCCCATTTTTGCCAATACAGTTCACTGTATACCGAATGCTGCCGCAATGTGAGTTGGTGTATGCAAGCCGTTGCCGTATAGCACCCACCTGGTGAGGCTGTTCGCAGGGAAGGTCATTGAGTCCTTGTACGGAAACCTTAGGGAGGCAGATTTAATTTGCAGTTTTGTTTTGATTGGATGTAATTTTACATCGAAGGGTGAGTCACTCGTTTATGATCTCATCCATTGGAACCGTAACTTTGATAGTCTTCGAAGTTTATTCTAAAAATTGTTTACAGCAATTGATGTTTAAAAAAAAATTTAAACAAGTACTGAGGATCCTAGGGTCAAAGTTGTTGTTTTTTTATTATAATAAATGCAAACGATCAAAGTAACCCGTATTATCAAATATACCCTGTTTTACGGTACCAGATTATATTTTCATGAAAATCATGCAGTACGAAGTTAGAAATAAAGGTGTGGATATGTTTCCTACCACAATTTCCCAAAACAGTGGTGTTCCGTTTTTGACACATTCCGATTTTGGCACATTTCGCTGGCATGTTCCGATTTTGGTAACAAACGCTTCCGTTTTAGGTAACTCAGTTAAGAAAATTTGAGCTTAAGTCCACTGATAATGTATGGAACACCTAGGATACATTCAGGAATACTTCAGAGTATGGTATGGGTAGATTCAGAGACCTTTAAACCTAGTCCAGTTTATGTTATAGAAGCATCTATACTAATTTGAATGTGGACCTAAAGAATTTTAGAGACAAATTTCAGACATTGTGAAGTTTGCTTCTATCAGGTTCGGTGAGCTTTGCGACGCGAGTACATTAGACTTCGAGAACTGATTTGGATATTTCAGGCGGGGTCTGGGAGGCTTCGAAGGCATTATCAGGATCAGGGGCCTGTCATCTGTCAAAATGCTAACATTACGCCTTATTCGTACAATACACGAACTAAATTTCGTACGGACCAGCAAACTGCTGCTCTTCTTGTCTTCTAAGGTACCTGTTCGTATTTGTGTTGCTCCTGTGGAGATCTGCGGTGTGGGACCATTAAAAATACCCATTGGCAGAAGCATACTTTTTTCCTTATCAATAATCTGGAGGACTAAAATTATTAGTTTCATCTGTTATTGCCAGACCAGCTGTAATTACACAGAGAACCAATAGACGATGCTTGGGACTAGCAATCATCCTCAATGTGTAAAAACTGGTGGTCTCGAATTAGGCAATACCAGCGCCAGCCGCGCCTGAACACAGGTCAAGAAAGGAATGGGTAGGAATGTGTTGACGTGACACTCGCTTTGATGGAAGCCGAGGAGTCCTCTGCACTTCCACGAGGAATCACAGGGATGAGGATTGGGTTTGCAGCAGGGTTCGTTTTGGTAAACGATAAGCTGAATTGATGTCCTAACGATCGTATAACGCGAAGGAGCTTGGGATTGAACCCACGGTCTTCTGCTCAGTAAGCAAAAACGTTTGCTACTAGGCAAACGAGCTCCTTTTCAATCATCGAGTTGCTGTTATTACCATGTAGTCATATTAACAAATAAAACGATTGACGAATCTTGATGTGGATGCGCTTGAGATTAAACTCAGGATGTTCTGCTCAGTAAGCAAAAACGGTTGCTCTAAGGCCACCGAGCCCCTCATATCACATCATACCGTTCCTCAAGTTGTTATAACTATTCAAACCCGACAACGAAAGGTTTAGCAAAATACACGATAAACAAGCGATCTTACCATACATTTTTAATATGAAAGGACCTGGGACCGCGTTTTTCTGCTAAGTAAGCAAGTCACTGCAACCGACGATCTTTCAAATCCGAAAACAAAACGCTACGAAAAAGTATTTCGGCCTTGATTAAATTCCACTATCACGCGACGTTCAATGTTTCGATTTGCTCTTTAAGCATTGTTCAGGCAATCATAACAAACTATGACCGACGTGACGATTGTTTAAAGTAATATGAGTAATATGAGTATTATTGTACAAATTACAGTACATTGTATGTAAATGTTACCTCATTATTCTGCAGCGCCATCGGTTTTGATTTCTGGATCTTGAGTTGTTTTGGTGATATACTTACTTGCGGCATACTATTTTGGGCGCCCATATAGGCGTGTACTATGTAGGGTAGCTCACCACTCGTCGTGATGGTGGGATATAGCAGACAAATTAGAGACGAAACATTAGGGAGGAAACAAAGAGGTATTAGTATTAGTTATACCTAAACAAACAAAACAAAAGAAGAGCAGAACAATAAAAAGAGAATAAAGATAAAATGGAAAACAAAGAAAAAGAAACGTAGGCAGATTATTGGAAAAGTATAAAAACAATAGAAAGAAGCATAGATCAACTACTAGGAAAACAGAACTACTTTATAACTAAAAGTGCAATGAATGAGCGTTAGTTTTGGGATCATTTTAGTGTTAGAGTTATGATCGTTTTGATCCGTAGTCAACCCTGCCAGCCTCTCCAACACTTGCAGTGGTTGTTATTAGACATGTGCGCCGATCAAAATATTTTCGGCGGCGGCGTGATATGTTATTTTCTGCCGGCGGCGGCGGCGTGGTGGCGTCACGCCGTTTGCTTTTGGCGGCGGTGGCGTGGCGGCGTGGGTCGGCGTGAGTTTATTTCAACTGATTTAGAAAAAAAAAAAAATACTTTCCAAACCAATCGCACATGGACAAAAAATGTTACCCACATTTGATTTCAGATTACTGAAAATCGCTAAAACGTAGGTCACTCATAGTTTGAGTAAATTTCCGGACCCTTTCCCGGGAAAAACTTCTCGAATATGGGAAAAATTAAGAAAATTGTACACAGGTTAGAAGTGTACTAGAAGACAGATTAAAACCACAATCAGTTTTCCTCATATTCGAGAAGTTTTCCTCGGAAATGCGTCGGAAAATTTACTCAACCTATGAGTGACTTACGATTTCGCGAATTTGAGTAACCTGAACTCTCATGCTTCGTTAGTATGGTGGCCAAAATTGAAAGAAGCTACTGCACAGAGGAAACTAGCCAAACTTCAACGTCTAGCATGCATTGCAATAACGGGTACGGTGCGTAGCACCCCATCAAAAGCATTAGAAGCAATCCTCAATCTGCTACCCTTGCATGAACATGTGCAACTAGAAGCGGAAAGAAGGGCTCTAAGGCTCAAAAGATCTTAAAAAGTAATGCCAGGTGATCTTGTTGGTCATCTAAGCATCTTACAATACTTACAAAGAGGTTCAGTGATAAGTATGAATGGAGACTGGATGAAACCAGAGGACAATTATGAAATTCCCTTCAACGTATGGGAAACGGCACTTTCGGATTGGGAAACTGGTGGTCCTAACGTTCGTCAAGGCTCAATCATATTTTTCACAGATGGCTCAAAAATTGGAATACGAACAGATGCAGGAATCTTTGGCCCCGGGTCAAATATTTCAGTTGCGATGGGACATTTTCCAAAAGTTTTTCAAGCGCACCATACTGTGGAATATCATACTGTACGGTAAAAATGGAACTCAAATGCTGGGAAGAGCAAAGGGTGATGGCCAACTGGATGACTGTCACAAACTGAAACCTGTGGAAAAGATTTATAACTCCTAATATAACATACAAAAAAAGCTCTTAGAGCTCAATAAAAGAGCTCTTAGTATATACACTGGCCTAGCAGATATCACATGAAGAACATTGGTCAGGTTCAGAGTAATATCTGTCGTTTCTGTAATTTGGAACGTGAAACCTCGGAACATCTGTTCTGCAGTTGTGGTGCATTACACAAACGTAGATCCAAATTTCTTGGAAGTATAAGCTTACAACCTAGTGATATTTAGTCTGCAAATCCTGGAAAGGTAGTTGGTTTTATAAACTATATTATACCGGACTGGGAAAAGATGTGTCCAGGCAATTAGCTGTCTAATCGTTAAATAGTGGTCGGTTTTCATGATACAAACAGCAAATAGAGGTACCACAAAAGTTCAAATAATGCACGGAGTGGTTTTACTTCACTCCTCAATAAAAAAATAAATAAATAACTGGAGTCAAATATGAGTAACTCTTACTAATTTTTGAGTAGTTATCATTGGCCGTACATACGAAATTTGTTTAGGAAAGTATCCAAGTGCTTGTTGGTGGGCAAAGTGTTATAACCCTTCTATTAAGTATAAGAAAAGTACGTTGGTGGATACTATTTAAAAGCAATCTGTTGCATTACGTAACATTTAAATGGGCCCTAGGAATTCTTTCATTTATTGAGCATTACACGTTATTAATATGTTGATAGCGATAAATAATATGCTTGTTCTACTCTTATACATATTTGAATGTGCACGCATTGTAGTCATACAACTTTTGGTTTATGTATTAGAAGCACAACTTGGACCTGTAAGAGACTCAAATATCAACGTGCTGTTAATAATATAGGGTGTTGCAGAATGTCTAAGCACGATTTGAAAAAAAAAACAATGACGTAACTTTTTATTTTGTTTTCATGTTCTATATAGTATTCTCTTACAGTTAAACGTAGAAAATCTGAGTCGTAAGCCAAGGAGTGGTTTTTTTTTTTTTATCTCACGCTTCTCATTAGCTTCAGTCCAACAATTTTGGATACTTTTTCCAAGTCTTTCACAAACTTTGTAACGGAATCCGCTGCCTTTACATGTGTCCGCAAATATGCTTTGGTCAGGGCGCAAAAAGTTTCAATTGGCCTGGCCAGTTTGGCGGATTCATCTCCTTGGGTACAAATTGGACCTTGTTGGCTTTATACCAGGCTATCGTGTCCTTGGAGTAATGAGCCGACGCCAAATCCGGCCAAAACAGTACTGAAGCGTCGTGTTTGCGGATCATGGGTAACAGATGCTTGTTTAAACACTCACGCACGTAGACATCGGTTGTCATTGTCTCCGTTGTCACAAAGGGTTTGGAAAGCATACCACTTTCACAAATGGCATGCCCATAGCATTTTTACCGATTTTTTCTGAAAAAATCGACTTATCCACGTCGTCAACACTTCGGCCATCACAAACGGTGTAGTACTGATCACTAGGAAGAGTTTTGGAATCAAATTTAACGTATGATTCAACGTCCATAATCTCGAACACCGATTTTCCGCAAAGCAACTTGTCGTATACACTTTTTTGACGTTTAAAGCAGAAGAACTGAAGGACAGCCCCCTCGCCCGCTCACAAAGATTTCAAGTATCGGGAAAGTCTTCTTCAGACGGCCTACCGATAACTACCGATAAAAGTTTTGAGAAGCTACCGATAATGAAAAAAATAATCTGGCCACCCTGCTTCTGAGCCCTCGGTTTGACGGATGCGGCTTGTTTTTCACTTCGCTTTGGCTTCTTCTGCTTCTTAAACGTCTTTAGACACATTCTTGCCTTGGCCCGCTGGACGTTACTTTTCGAGGATCCCACTTTTCTAGCCACGTCCCGAACCGAAGCCCTTTTCTTGCGAGTGAAAGTTTGCACGATTTTCCGGTTCAGATTTTGGTCAACAGGGTTCGGTTTACCTCCAGATTTTTGCTTGTCCTGGAAAGTTGCTTACACCTTCATATTCCCCAAATTTCTTCAGAGAAATGTTGGAGATTGGGCTGAATATCTCCTTAATAATGATATTTAAAAGAAAAAGGGTGTAGTACACCATTTGTGCACAATCTGTTTGCGCTTTTCCGGAGAAATGTTTCGCATTGTCACGGAAATGTAAAGAACCGCAACTTGCGATACACGAAACTGTTGGTCGAAATGTAAACAATGATTCAGCGTGATAATCAGCTGTTTAAACGGCATCTGAAACAAGCAGGGGTGTTCGAAAGTCGCGCTTACACATTCTGGACACCCTATATTCACTTATTCACCTTTATGTAACTCCGACCTGAATGATTCATTCCTGTGTGCTAGATCGAGAAAGTGCGAACAAACGTCAAAAAACTAAATGACAATCGCAGCACTACACGCTAATTTCAACGCGTTCTAATTTCAACGCGTTCAAGATGCATTTTATCTAAAAGGTGCTACGGATTTTTCATCGGCGTGACATAAATTTATTCGGCGGCGTGGAAGATTTTACTTCGGCGGCGCGCCGGCTTAATTTCAACGGCGGCGGCGGCGTATGAAAATCGTCGGCGGCGGCGGCGTGGCGCGGCTGCGCACAGGTCTAGTTGTTATATCATGCGACACTGTATCTACTACTATGTTAGAGGTATGATTCGTCAAGTTTATACAACTCAATGTTTCAATTGACGTTAACTATTTATCGTGCAATTACAAAAGCAAACCTAAAATTACAATTATAAGGCAATATTATATTTCTTATATAAATAACTTTGATGAAAACAAAAACAAATGCAAAATGAAACTTGACAAACCATCGTCAAACCCCCCATTCTAGAGCAGGGCAATAGGGAGGATTATTGTCACAAGAGACAAACACAACAACAACGAGAGATGAAAATGGGAGAGAAACAGGATAAACAATTGATCCATATGTGTTAACTCAAGGCAACGAAGGCTTAACAAAGTAATCAAACAAGTTGACATAAATCTAACCAGGGTCCAGGAAAAAGCAAGCAGCCATCCAGGATAGAAGTGTTTCACGTTAGCCCCATTGTTGTTGTTGTTGTTGTTGTTGTTGTTGTTGTTGTTGTTGTTGTTGTTGTTGTTGTTGTTGTTGTTGTTGTTATTGCGCTCATCTTCTGGCACCACCCAGGGGAGACTTGATCCTGTACCCAATGCTTAACTTATCTCTATTCCACTCAGCTACTCGCAATTTCTTGCGGTATAGTGGGTGGAATATTATTATATGAGACAATTTAATGCAGACGTCTTTCCAAATTTGGCAGATCGACAGGTAATCGGTGAGTTACCGCGATGGTGGACAACTCGACAACATCTCATCGTCAACGCATGCTATGAGAATTTCCCATTGCAAACAATAACGAAATGACGCCATCGAGCTATCGATCAACTACCCTGGTTACCACCTGGTACCTTATAGCATGATGCTAGGAGGCGGACCGGAAGAATCGATGAGCAACCTCCCCCTGCATCCAGGCCACATAGTGGAAAAATAAACAAATGTGTGATTTTCCCTCTTACAATTCCATGAAACTTCGCATAATTGTTCCCAAGTATGTGCTGGAATTCGGGTATTTTGACTAACGCCTAATTTTTGAAAAAAAGCCTATTGGACATTTTTCGTCAAAAAATGAAGAAAGCTCTCAAAAACTTTAATAATAAAAAAGTACATTTTTGAAAGCTGATAAAAAATGTAAACTTTTCCGAAATGGACACAATAGAACCTTCAAAATTGGCCAAATTCGTAGAATATAAACAAGCTCTCAATAACCATAGCTATTCATAGGTTGATGCAATCATACTTGCATGTGTTTACTTTCATTTCCAGATTGCTGAGAACTTTGAGATGCCATTCTTCGAGGTATCCTGCAAGCAAAACATCAATATCGAGGATGCATTCCTAACACTGGCCCGTAAAATCCGTGAACAACGAGAACACAGAGTATGTCTGGAGCAAATTACTCTTACACAAAGAACACAAATAATGCCTTGCACATTTTTTTTTTCATCAACAGGGTGACAACTTTGACGACGGCGATCGCCAGAAGGGCCTCCAGGATATGATCAAAAACGGACCCGGTTCCAATGGGCTGGGACCGTTTACGTTAGGCAGCGGCGGCGAAGGTGGTCGATGTTCCTGCTAAAGACTGGCCCGGTCCTGGTTTGACCTGGTTCTCTGCGTAGGATAATGGAATTTGTGCTGATCGCAGCGATGAAAAGACTCGAATTTTACCAAGAGATTGATAGCTTTTGTTAGCAGGTTTTTTTTTTGTTTTCTATGGGACTGAATCCCATTACTAGTGTATCGGTTTTCTTTTACCTGGCTCCGCCGTGGAAGCAGTTGGAAAGTGCACAAATTTACAGAACAGGAAATGTCTTTTTATAATGAGATATTATGTAAACAATACTCATATCACTTTAAGTAGCAAGAATACAATGATGAACGTGCAGTAGGGAACTTGCCAGTTTCTTACGTTTGAAACGTTCTCATTTGAAACTAGATGTATTTGTTCTGTGTTCAAATCCATAAGATTAGCATCGTACGTAGAATGAAGATCTCATAGTTTGTCATTCTTCGAGTTTATCGAAATTTCAGTTCCAACGCTCATTGTAATTAGATAATCTATTGTTAATCCTAACCTAACTTAACTACACAGGACTAAATCTCGAAACAGGAAACTGTTCACTGTCTTTCAGAGCAGCCATATTTGTTCGCTTGTTGGTTGCACATGTGAGTAAATAAAAATAGCCTTGCCCGAAACATGATAAACGAACATTGAAACGTATAAACAGTGCTGCATTTACATAGATTTTTGTTTGGTTGCGTTTCGTAAAAAGCGTTGGTTGTAGAAATAAAAATGCGACTGGTGCCTATTTTTGAAGACAAAATTATTCTTGCTGACGCCCTGTGCACATGTGAATAGAATAGTTGGGTCAGAGTGCAAAGAAGAAGCATACAAGAATGGCACTTAAGCTTTCGGTGGAAACTACTTTGCGCTAAAAGCATGCAACAACAGCATCACACTTGGGCAACTATAAGTAATCTCTAACGGTAAGGTTATGTTCCGAAATTGAACAACATTCTAGCGTAAATTAAGTCAATGTGATACAGATGGTTAGGAAAGTAAAATTTTAAACTTCGACTCATTCGACACGTCTTGTTTTGAAATACATTGCGAGGATCATAGGAGGAAACCATCATCAGATCAAAACGGACTCGTTCCGAATTGGAGTAACCTAACGATTTATAATTACATTTATTAACAAAAAAAGTAACATCCTTAATGGAATATGTGCATAGTTTACGAAAGTCTATGAAGTAAATAATTCAACACAAAGAAAAAAAATACAGATTGCGAAAGAAGATTGTGAATCGTTTAGGGGGGAACAAATTATTGGTTATTCCAAAAATGGGTAGACAGTTTGCAGGAAAACTTTGTGAATAGAGTCAATGTTAAATTCGGATAGTAATTCCGAAATAGGAACAACAGGGGCTGAACTGCAATCTAATTGGTAGTTTCCTTTCGGATATCTGAAAATAAAATTTGGAGTATTATGCCAAATGACTAGGAGCGTTATGTGCTTTTCCGAAACGTTTTCTTATTTAAGCCGTGGCAAATCGATGTATAAAAGTTGATTATCATTTTCAACTTTCACGAAACTGCGCAAAGATTCAAATTCTTCGTCAAGCAAGAAACTCCCCTAATCAAATCGTAATGAACGCCAGTATGAATGAACCACGAACCAGCATCTGACAATCTTTTGACGTTGCCCCTACAGCCTTCTACGATGAATCCGCGAAGGGAACGATCAAAATAAAACCGAAGAAAGCATGTAAGTAGGTAGTGCAGCATACGCTGTAAGAAAGAAACACTGACGTAGTCTTCAGCCGTTGGTGCTCGATCGTTCGTTTGCTCTTCTTCTGTGGGCAGGTAAATATGCTCTCTCGCAATCGCAATCCATTGCACAGCCAAGATCATCGTCTGAGAGCTCACGCAGCTCAGTCCCAAGCAGCGAGCGAAGAGTGTAGGATCGGTTTGAACTACTTTCTTATCGAAGAAAGTACGCGTCAGAGTTAAAAAAATAATCGAAATTTGCTGGTTTAATGGTGAAATTTAAACTGCGAGGAATTGATTAAAGTGTTCTAACTAAGATTTCATGCTTCTAAAGTGACACAATACGACTTAGAAAGGTGAGCGAATAAGTCGTTGAATGAGCTGCTTACGCGTCCGAAGGGATAACGGTATTTGGTGGTTGCTTTGCTTCTTTGCGTGCAATTTTGTTGGGTCTATGTTGAAGATCACTCAGGTAGAAAGAATGGCCGTGAAATGTATGAAAAAATGGTTGCTGTTTTTAATGAATGAAAAGAACATTTTGCTCGCGTTGTAGTCAGTCGCCAAACTGTTTGTTTCTTTGGGATTCCTTTGTAAAACTGGAATCCGTTGGAGTAGCACACATCGCGCGGGTTGACACAATTTTACATCTCGGTCGTGCAAGTGAAAGTTGCGATGAAATGTGTGACTTGAATGTGTGAATGAAATCAGACTGGATGGCAAGAATAATGCGAAAGAGTGGAATTTCAGGTGTTTTCATTTAAATTTGCGCGGTACTAATTTTTCAAGATTTTAAAATTACTCCGTTTCTAACTTAATTAATTATTAAATATAAAAGTATGCTTGAAATTCCTGATAGTCCGGTAGTTAGCTGGGGTATTTCTATGCACTGGATTTATTGTGAGTGTAAGAAATGTCATTTTTACTGCATGGTTGAAATTCGAGCTCAAAAGGCAACTTAATTGTAAATTGTCAAACCAAGGTGCAACTAAAACACTGGCCCGATTAAGGAGTTATAATATGTTGTAAGACTACACACTTAGAAAAATTCATGTAAATTTGTCATAACAGACGCGAAACAGCTTAATCAAACGTACTTTTCGTTGAGCAACGAACTTTTCAGTCTCAGAGCACTTAATATTACATGACCTGTTTGTTTACGTTTCATTTTTTATGTCAAAGATGGATTCCGTCACGTGTAAAATTAGTTATTTCTAAGTGTGTATCTATATTTAATATAACATCTTATAACTTTGCAGTCTGAATAAACTATAAGCTGCACCATACTCAGCTGGTGGTGAGTTTGCAGGGAGAGCAAAAAACAATGAATCATTTTCTGATATAACTTCTTCTTCTTCTAGGCTTTTACGCTTCTGTAGCGAGCGTTTTGCTGGCTCTCAACGGAGTATTCTAGATATCTAAATGCACTTCCACAGTTATTCATTGAGAGCTTTCTCTGCCAATCAATGCATGAATTTGTATATTGCGGGGCAATCACAATCACTCAATGCACAGGGAACATTTCCAACCCGAAAGATGTTCTACAAAGCAGACCTTGCTGGTGGTGGCTGGACTCGATTCCCGGTCCGGTCTAGAAATTTTTCGGATTGGAAAATGTCTCGACTTCCCCCCTCCCCCTATGCAGTGTGATTGTACTTGCCACACAATCATATAAATGCAAAAATAGTACAGGCATCGAACGTTCTCAATTAATAACTGTGGAATTGCATCTAGAACACTAAGTTGAAAGCACGCAATAAGCTAATAAGCGATAAGCAATAAGCTTGAAATGTGGAGAAGAAGAAAATGCAGCTTCTCAGTTAAAATCTAGAATATTTCCTCTTCATGTTTTTTAAGACGAATCTTTATCATATATTTATAAAAATGAATTCTCAAAGAATTTCATGGAAGTTACTGGAACATTATTTGATTCCGGAAACTTCGTAAAAGTTCAGTGAACGTTGTAGCACTTCAAGGAACATCGAAGATTTTCAGGAGATTTCGTAGAACTGTAGTTATCTTCGTAGAAGTGCAGGAAACTTTCTAGAAGTGCAGCACATTTTGTAGAATTTTAGCGAAATTTGTAAAAATTCAGTGAACTTTATTGAATTTGATCGTAAAAATTCCGGAATTTAGACAGTCTGGAAAATTCGTAGAGCTTCACGGACCTTCGTAGAAATTCAGGGAACTTTATAAGCATTCAGCAAACTTCGTTGAAGCGGAAACTTTGCACACGTTTGGGCAATTTCGTAGTGTTGAATTTCAGGGAACCTTATAAAAGTTAAGGGTCCTTCTTATAACCTCAGCATGCTTGGCATACACAGTTTTGGTCACGAACTGCTCATTTGCTAATAACTTTGCACACAGTTGACGGAACATAGTTCTTTTTGAAGCTGTAGATAGAATAGAGTGTAAGTTTGTTATTGATATGTAAAAATAGTAGATTTTAATGCTAGTAGTAAACTGTATTTGTTTATGCGTTGTAAAAATGAGGTGAGAAATGCTCACTACACATCTCGGAACTGAAGAGTTAAATTGATTAGCATTGATTCAAATGTTAAGCTTTACCTAATCTTCGCATATCTACAGTAAACTATGAGCCTAATCTATCAATTACTTTAAAGAAAAATAAATTTCAACATTTGAGTTAAAATTTATTACCAAATGAGCAGTTGGTGTGTACAACTGTGCATCAGATTGATGCAAAATTTAACTTTTTCGCTCCACTGTCCTTAAATGGTTTCAAATCAGGTCCTGATTAGCCTCCCAAAGTTACAACTCATTTGGTTAGAAACAGACTTCGCACAAGCCATTTTAAGTTTACATGTAAATTACTATGAGAAATCTCAACTTTTTGTTCATTGCCTTCCAGTCTTTTTCCATATTAAGCTGCGAAACAGTTTGATAACTATTCTTCTAGAAATATTTCTCAGCTACAACTTTGCTGAAAATCGTTTCTATGTAAAACGAGACAGGAAAAAGTTATTAATTATTTAAGAGATTGGTAAACTTATGACAAGATCAAGCAACTGCTCTGTAGGCAACACTGTATTTTGCAGTGTGACATAGTAGACATGATTTTTGTGTCCTATTCAACGCCCCAGAAACACTAATGTTGCCTGCTGAGCAGTTGATTGAGCATGATCATAAGTCATCAGCGCATTGAACCATTGATAACTTTCGATCCTTGCATTTATGCAAAAAGTGGTCTGGAACAAAGTTGTAGCTGGGAAAATTTCCTACAAGTACAGTTGAAAGTTTTTGAAGCAGACCGATATGGTGAATTATTAGATAGACATGAACAAAAATCTTGGTTTTACCATAGTAATTCCCATACAATCTTCAAATGGTTTGTGCCATCTCAGTTTTTCACCAAATGGGTTCAAATTTTGAGAGGTTAGTCAAGAATCGTTTAAGTATTGTGGAGCGAAAGTGTCAAATTTTGCATCACTCTACTGTGCATGCCAAGCATGAACCTCAGGGCACTTGGTTAGAGTTTAATGAGTTTGGAATAGTGCCAGAAATTCTGCACAAGTTCAAAAAAGCTTGTGGAACCTCGCGGAAAATCAACGAGAAACGTAGAAGTGCACCGAACTTTGTAGAAGTTAAGCAAATTACGGATCTGCGATAAACTTTTTCCAAGCGCTGGAAATTTTTAAAACGTTTAGGGAATTAAGAAGCAATTCAAATCATTTCTTAGAAAAAACAGCAACCTTCAAAGAATTTCAGGAATCTTCGTTCCAGTTGTGAGCAGTTCCATGGACACGATGGACACTTTAAAATTGTCAAAAATCGTAGAAAATCAACTTATGGAATAAACTTGAGCTTTTCTTTATCGCTCATAATTTTAATATATTTTGCGATCATCATACGGAAATCCATGTTTTTAGTTTCAAAAATCGTTTCCCATGCATTCATCTAAAAAAAAAATGCGAAAAATATAGTTCAAACACTTTATTACAAATTGATATTTTACGATTTCTGTCAAATTTTAAAGCGCAAATAACATTTTTAAGCCCAAGTAACATTTATGGTTTTATGAGGGTTCTGTAAACCATGAATTAGAATTGTAGGATGATTAAATCCTCGATACAACTTGCATTGTTGTTTGGGTTGCGTTCAATTTCAGAGAAGTGAGGGAGCATCCAGGGGTGGAGGGAGTTGAGTTCAGGGAATTCTGCACAAGTTCAGAAAAGCTCATGGAAGCTTACGGAATATCAACTAAAAACGTAGAAGTACACCGAACTTTGTAACAGTTTAGCGAATTCCCAAGTGACCAAAAGTTCTGCATTCAATGATTAAAATCATTGACAGTTCCGTAAAGTTCAAATAAAGTTCCGTCCGAACCTACAAGTTCCATAAAGTTCAAATAATGTTCTGACAGAACCTTCAAGTTTCATATAGTTCAAATAAAGTTCCGACAGAACTTTCAAGTCCCATAAAGTTCAAATAAAGTTCCGACAGAACTTTCAAACCACATGAAGTAATCCGCATTCTTCATTAGAAGCAAAATTTATTGTACGTAAGTATGAAATGATCAGTGGCCCGAATAAATTATAATTTTTACATTTATGCAGTCCATCAACATTCTATCCAAACATAAAAAAATAAAGAGTAATTTCTCAGATGACGCAGCGGTTCATGCTCACGCAGAAGGACTGGGTTTAATTCTTCAAACAGCTCCAATTCTACCGCTAATGCTGATAAATCAATACACATTAATACCTGCC